TCATTTATGTTCACTGCTGTAGGATATGTATGAACATAGCATTATTTATTCTCCCTAATCTTCTATTAGGGAGAAACAACATCTATGTTGTTTCTACTTCTTGCCATTGCCCACTATACTGAGATTAAAGCCCTGTAATGTGATTAATGCTCAAGTCTCCTTGAGCAGAGCATGTGAGTCTATGAAGGGTATATATTTAAACAGAGAACTGCTGAATCTTAACCACTTACTGCCAAATATTCCTAAATTATATGTACTAAGATTTTCATTAGCATTTTATCAGTGTTGCTCTTCTTCCCCATCACACCAATCCTAAGTATTGAAGAACTGTCAGTGTTACTGGTGTTTTCTCACTGTTGTTTTAATTGCATTTTCCTGACCTAGGAAGATCAATCATCTTATCACTGTAAATGTATAGAAGCCTTTTAGGATTTATTTGTCAAGATCCATGAAAAATGTTTTTCAAATTTTAGTTGGACTTCAATTTCCCAGGCCTGTTATATCAGCTGATCCCACAATCTTTATAATTATTGTTGTCACTATAGCAAGTAAGCAGCACACCCACTCGTTGTCCCAACACTTGTCTTCCGCCCACACTGCATATTTTGTCTCCATCACTGATAATCTGATCTTACTATAGGCCACCACCAGTGTCCCATTTCCTCTCAGCATGTGCTTTTCAATAGGTGAGAAACCTGATTCCAGAATTCCATTTGAAGATGTCTTACGTAAAGCCATTTACTTACTGCATTAGTCAAGGGCCTAGCAGAAAACAAATGACACAGTCAACATGGAGAATTACGGAAAGTTTAATATGGGGATATACAATGTATGTTCAGGACTAAGAGAACCCAAGAAAGGCTGGTGACAATCCCAGGGCTAGTGATAATGGGGACACATTGCTACCCCTAGACCTAAATGGCAAGGGGAACAGTGGTTACCAAAATCCAGAGAAAGTAGCTATAGTTGCAGAAAAGTCAGCCCAATAGGATCTGTGGCCTTTGGTAAAGTAATGCAGACACCCCTTGGAAACCAAGCTGAGAGACAGCTGGGTGACTAAGCACCCTGACCTCCCTCAGCTTAGGATCTACTCCTGTTGCCTCCCATGGGACAAATGCAAATGTTTGTCAAAGGATAAGACCCTGATTATGTCTCCCTACAACTCATCCTCCTGGGGTAAATAGGAGGTTCAAAGAATGAAGGATGGAACTGGAGAATCAAAAGAAAGACCCTAGCAAATCCATATCCCTTGTAATCTAATATCTTTACCCCTCTAGAACTTCGCATCTCCATTGGTACTCCAGAGACAGGCATCCACATTTGATATTACCTTTATAAAAAGAGCGTACTCAAATGGATAAGGAAACATCATGGATCCAATGAACAAAAGGGAAAAAAAAATGCCTTTTTTCACAAAGGATGAGATTCAACTCACATAGACATGTAAAATAAAACAAGAATGGAGATGTAAAATAAAACAAGAATGGAGACCATTTTTTGTCTGTGAAATGAAAGTCTGGAGTCACCAAGAATACCGGAAGCAGTTAGGATGAAGAGGAAAACCATAAAAGGGTGAAGAGGCAACAGATTACCTAGTGAATACTAAGAAGTAACATAGAAGATGGTAGATGGGCACATGGTGACATACAACATGGCCTAAAACTTAAAGTAAAGCATTGAAGACAGGGAAAGAACAATGGATAGAAAAGTCACTGAGAATAAAACAAAGAGAAGGCCAGATTCCTGACTTCATGGTGTGAAGATGGGGAAGTGAGGAGCTGCCCCTAAGAACAGATCGAGGGACATACACTCATTGGGAAAATCCATATTTCAGATAAAGGAAGGAGGAAGAGGGAGAGTTCTTGGGAAAGAGAGAGCCAACGTTGGTCTTTCTTGGCAACAGAACAGAAATGCCAAGATGAGTCGTTGAGTTATAAATGATCAGCAAGGGACAGTGTTCAATTTGATTGAAAGCATCGAGTAGAAAGACTGCCCTGGCAGGTCTTGGAGGAGTGGGAATGGGGGAAGGGAGGAAATAATATGCATTTGTCTCAGTCTTCCATGATTTACGTACATATGAGACTAATTCTCTAACTAAGATCTTTTCACATCTTTGTGCAGTGGCTTTTCCTCTGTGAAAATTAAAGCAAAATTAATTAACTCCGTTTTCACACTATTTTATGCATGCATATCTATATCTATACCTGTATCTGTAGGGAATACAGTAATTGGCAGATATTCTATTATTGGATGCTTGAAAAATCTTCTCCACTAACCAGTTTCCTTGTAGACAGACACAACCACATACCTAGTAGGAAAGAAGATATAAAATGTTCCCTAAGACTTGCAACTTAACACTTCTGACTAATCATCATGCCCTTCACAAGGAAGTACGGTTCGGGAAAACCAAGGATATATTCCTTAACCGACCTATAAACATATTTGAAATAGTGGGCTGGTTCCTAAAAATGTAATTTCCTCTTGACTTTTATTGAGTGTCTGGATTCTTGGGACCAATGATGTTGGTTATATATTTAGAAATACCTAGAGACATAAGTTGGCCAGTACTCACATGTAAAAACTGAAAATTGCTGAGTCTTCTGTGACACTGTATGACATCAGGATGTCACAACCCTCTCTAGTAAATGCCAGGAGCACTTTTGAGAAACAGAAAAAAAGTATGAAATGGTTTCTCATTTGTACTAACTCAAGCTGTCTTTAAATTTAAGCAAACCCCTGGTCCTTATCAATTAGTGCCTTTTCCTCAAACTTAAACTCTGTATGAAGAATCTTGGCAGCTTAGTCTCAGGAGGATTCAGTGCTAGTCAGAAGCTTTCGTCCATAGCTCTGTCCCCTTGAAGGCCATTATCCTACTTTGTCACGCTCTTTCTACTTCCACGCCCAGGCTGAGCTTCTTGGTTCTGTCCTATGGGATTTGGATCCCTTTCTCTTTGAGCCCAAAGAAACTCATCCTGTTCCTGTTCCAGGAAACTCTGCTCTATCTAGAGACAGTGGCCTGTGATGCAGCCTTGACTGAGAAGCTCCTCTTCCTCATGTTTGTAATTTTTCATCCTGAATCTTTTCCCTCACCATTTTCCTATATCTTTCAACTTACTCATTAATTGATCAAAACACCATTAGTCTACATCCCTCTCACTCCATCCAGTCTCAACTCAAGGATCTTTTACATAACAATCCCTTTCAGGGATCACTATGCATATATTGTTGGAGGACACCTAAGAGCAGCATGGCCTGGGAATGGGGGATCAGGCAGGGAAAATCTTTCAGTTGTAGAAACATAGATCATCTTCTCCCTTCTGCCTCCTACCTCCATCCTCTCCCTATCTAGAACCTTGTTGTATGTGAATCTTCCTGTGAATTCTTGATGTACTGGGACTAGAGACCCTGCTCATGGTGGATTTATAAAGGGCCCCCGATGATAACAAGTGTTGGAGAGGTGTAGAGAAATCAGAACACTTCTACATGTTTCCACCATATTCTGGTGGGAATGTAAAAAAGTTTGGCAATATGTCCACACAGATGGAATCTAAACAAAATAATAATAATGAAGTTTTTTAGATAAATAATAATTTTAAAAATCGAACTTAGAGCTACAGAGAAAAGATTAAGGTTTGCCTGAGGTAGTGGGTGGGGGGTGGGCGAAATGGGTAAAGGTGGTCCAAAGGTACAAACTTACAGTTATAAGATAAATAAGATCTGGGATGTAATGTGCAGCAAAATGATTATGGTTAACCCATGCTGTATTGTGTATTTGAAAGTTGTTAAGAGACTGGATCTTAAAGTTTTCATCAAAATAAAAAAATTTAAACTATGTGTGGTGAAGGATGTTACCTAAGTTATTATGGTAATTATTTCATTATATATATATATACACACACATACACATATATATAATCATTTGGTATACAATGATTTGATATATATATATATATATATATATATATATATATCAGAGAAGGGGTTGGGGGCAGGGTGAAAGGAGTGAAGGGGCACATATGTATGATGGCAGTTGGCAACTAGACTTTTGGTGCTGAGTATAATGCAGTCTATACAGAAGTCTGAACACCTGATCACTGGGACACCTGAAATTTACAAACTGTCATAAAATAATGCAACCTCAATAAAAGAAAGAAGGAAATTTAACCAGAGCATTCAAAGAACAAGTTGTTCTCCTTTTTTCTTACAGGCATTTGAGCCAGATGTTCATTCCACGAATCTGGAGGTGATGTGCTAAAAGTGCAGAGTGAGAAAGAAATATCATGATTCCGGAGCTCAAACCATTTATTTCTAGCTCATATTCATACAAAATTTAGACTGCTGCCATGCAAAATGGCACCTGTTTGTAGCAATTGTTCATCTCATTGCGAGCACGTTAACACTGCAAGGTAAATCAGCTTCCCACTGACCTTAAAACAACAGGGAAAATCGGGGACTGGCTGCAAGGGGGCAGGGGAAGTAACGAGGAGGACCTCTGTCAAGGCACAGCCTTAAGGGGAAGGCAATAGATTCCCGTTCTCCACATCCTGCTGCAACACCTCATCAGTGTCTCTCTAGACTGAGAATTCCAGCTATTTTCCTGCTTACACAGAATAATTACTACGGAAATGGACTGGTGGAACAGCCCTTTTAGAACACTTAAATAGAAAGTAAGTTTTGTGATTGTGTTTGAATTAGGCGTTAAAGACAGTTCAACATCCAAGAGAAGAAAGAGGATTATTTTAGGGTTTATTTCTGGGTGACTGTAGCTCAGAGCATGTGAGAAAGTTGGATTTTACCTTTATTCTCATTGGTATTAGAAAGGCACCTCCATGCATTTCATATGAGCCAGTGACTGTAGGTCCACAATTCTTTCTGCAGGAGAAAAGGAAGTACGGTAATAGAACAATAAACATGTTTTTTCTTCTCATAAATATTTCATGTTTATGAAGGTGACGGTTAGCTTGGTTAAGAATGCAAAAGTTGACTGACTTGAAATGCCAAACACACTGAGCAATGGGAGGTGGGGAGAGAGAGGTATATATTCAGGATCTCACCATTCACCTCACACAGGCTTACAGGCTCCCTGCTCACCTCTGCATCCTCTAGGAACACAGGTAAGTGCTTCACCTACTCAAGCTTAACAATATGAAGCATTTCTGAAAATTATAACAATGATTCCTTTTACATCGTGTACCTATGCATTCTGTATGATTGTATTTTACTTATTCTGCCCGGGCAAAATTGAAACACCCTCTTCATCTGATTTATCTTTTATCTGATATATTTCCTTCTGAGGAAGCAAATGCTCCTTTAGGAGCTCGTGTGGTGGAGAGGAGGGTGTCTGGCACCCATGGAGCACTGAAGGCAAAGGCAGAGAGGTGCCTCATGGAAGCCAGCTTGATGTTATCCACATGGATCATGGTCTAGCTATCTGTTATAAAACATTTTTTACTCACACCTAGGACAGCCAGTGAGGAAGGAAAGATGAAGACGTTCCATTAATTTTCTGCAAAAGTTTCTTTCAATAGCAATTTTGATAAGTTTCTAATTACGAATATTATACAAGTATATTGAAAAAGGCTTGAAAATGAAAAAGATGAAAAACTTTAGTTGCCAGAATCCCACAACCCAAATATAAGTCATTTCTTCTAAGAAAATTTCATTACACGCTAACCTTCCCTTCAGTAAAGTCATTCTTAAATGAACCTGATGCTTTTCCAGGAGTTCCAGATCACACCAAGGCCACCATGAATTCACTCAGTGAAGCAAACACCCACTTTGCAGTTGATCTGTTCCAACAGCTCAAAAAATCAGAGAAGGACAACATCTTCTACTCCCCTCTCAGCATCTCATTAGCGTTAGCCATGACCTACTCAGGGGCCCAAGGGAACACCGCACTCCAAATCGGCAAGGTAGGTGTCAGCTCCCTTTACGTTGACCAGTTTAGACTGAATTCTCTGTTGGCCTGTGTGCAGATGCTCACAGATCTGGCCGTCCCAGGGGTAGCACAGGAGGCTGAGCAAGATTCCCATGACCAGGTGAGCACAGGGCTGTGGGGGGCATACATCCTCTCCCAGTGCTCTACCCCGTCTGATTCCCTGTGCCTAGACTTCCTTTGGGAGCTGGGATGAACTCCTACAATTGCCCAACAACCAGAGGCGAGGCTTAAATGCAAGAGCACTGGGAGAAGTGATGCACTGACTTAACTCCATGGGAAACACCTTCACTTGACTCCTCAGCCGTGAATCAGTAATGAATCAGGATTCTTTGCAGTGGCTGGTGACCCACCAGCTTTGCTGTAGTTTTTCAAGGAGGAAATGCTTACACTCAAGTTTCTTTCTTCTTTTTCCTTTGCTTCTATATTGTTTTTTTTAATTTTGGGTTTGTTTGGGGGTTTTGATTTGTTCATTAGTTTGGGTTTATTTCTGTTTTTCTTTCTTTATTTTGTTTTCCTCTAATGGAGACAGATCTTTTGAGTAAAGTTTTCTTGTCCCACTTCCTGTTCCTTCCAGGTCCTCCACTTTAATGACGTCACAGACAGCACAAGAGGAAGAGCCTCAACAGCTCACGTGAGTCATGGAGCACTGGGGTCTAGAAGGAGAGTCACATGTCCAAGAGGGTCACGGTTTAAACTGGGAATTTCAGTGAAAAGTCCATTTTTAGGGGAAATTTTGGGCAAAATACACTGGACAGGCAGAGTTGTTTCTCATTTCATGTTACGTACTTAATTACTTCATATTGTTGAGAGGAGATCAGGATAGTGATTAAGAGCATAGCTTCTAGAAGCAGAAGACTAGCTTCAAATGCCCGCGCTGCTGTTCATGAACAGGGAACATGGGCAGGCACAACTGCTCTGAGACACAGTGACCTCATGCCAGTAAACTGGCAATAATAGATCTGCCCCAATACATGCAAGTACATGCAAAACCTCACTACAGTGTTCAGATTACTGGATACCCTGTCACATGTTATGTATTAGTATCATAGAATAACAATATATAGTAATAACAATAAAGTTGATAAAATTATATAATTTTAACTAACTCATTGATGGGATTAAAAGGAATAAGTGTACATCCAAATACATTTTGCAAGATAATTGCATGAACTATATAGTTTATAGCCGTAATAGCATAAGTGTTAGCTAGCAAGTGGAAGGTTCTGGATTCAGGCAGGCCTAGGTTCAAAAATTGGCTCTGCTACCTTGTGTCTCCTTGGTGAAGTTATTTAATTCTCTGAGCTTCCTTGTTTTCATCTGAATAGACTAAAGACTTAGAGATACCTATGAAAAGCCATAGAGGTGTACTAGGAACACACTATTCCTACACTTGGAGTATGACCATCATGAGTGAGGAGACAGATCACACTCAACAGTCTCACAAGAGAAAACCACCTAGGAGTGTACAGGGCTTCATGTCATAACCTTATTGAAATACACAAATTCAACATTCTCATACCACAGACAGCTATTAAAATGAAAATGTTTCTAGCCCTTAAGGACCTTATGTTTAGCTGGGAAGCTTAACCTAACCATACATACCAATTAGCAGACTTTCCAATGGTGGAATGGTGCTGCATCTGTACCTCAGAAGAGAAAACACTGGATTATTTAGAGCAGAGACAAAGAACTGTCTGGAAGAAATTAAATGTAAAACTTTTGAAGAATATTTGAGGCAAAATATACCAATATCAGGGAATAACAACAAATGTCATTCATGGGGTTACTAAACTTTAGAGATGACTCTAACAGAGTTACTTGGGTTTAGTATTTACATTGACAGAGAATGCAATGAGCTCACTTTTTGATATTTGAAGGTTGAAAAGTTGAGAAATGTTCATCAGCAATTTCAAAAGCTTCTGACTGAATTAAAGAAACCCACTGATGCCTATGACCTGAGCATTGCCAACAGGCTCTATGGAGAAAAGGAGTTTCAATTTCATCAGGTAAGTTTCACGGTCCTGCCACACCTTTCATCTGCATCCCAGGTCATCTGTTTGCCAATCACCAAATGGAGGAGAGTGAGCAGATGAGCCTGGCTGACCCACATGGGGAGCATTTTCCCAGGTGCAAGGATCCCTTGCCACAACTACACCCAATGGAGTGTCCTGAAGCCTGACAATCCACCAAGAAAGTGTGGGTTTAGGGGTTACTTTATGACCAAAGGGCAGATTCATTAGCAGAGTAACTCATGAGGTGCCCCTAATGATCTGACACCATTCAGTCACACGGTGTAAATTTTGGTGGGCAGTGACCCAGGAAATGTATGGTGAATGAGATACAGATGGCATAGGCAAGCTTGATGAGTCCCTGGGGAAAGCTGGGTAAGTACCAGGGAATACTGAATGCCAGGATGGAAGATATAAGCCAAGGTGAGAAGCTGAAGCATGGGTATTACTGGAGAGGAGTATGAGCACACCATCTCTTTCGGGGCATCAAGCTTTGCAGTTTGCAACCCACAGCGTCTTCTCCTCCAGGCTTTGTCAGGTGGTATTGCCCTTCAGAGACCTCATTCTTGCGCCAGCCTGTACTTGCCATTCACATTACCCCCGTAGGAGCTGTATAAAAATGCACAGGGGCAAGAAAATGTAGATTTCTTTAGAGTCTGGATTCCTGTGCTATATTTTGTTAAGATTGAAAACAACTCACTTGGGAATACATAGTTAATAAGAAATTACTCTTAATTCCTCCTTTCTTCCTTCCCATGTCAAAGGAATACATGGAAAACGTTAAGAAATTTTACCTTGCCAGTGTGGAATCAGCTGATTTTAGAAATGCTCCAGAAGAAAGCCGCAAGAAGATTAATTCCTGGGTGGAAAGCCAAACAAAAGGTAGAGTAAGAGGGATGGCCCATAAAGAAACACATTGAGTCCCCGCTGTGCGTGAACCCTGTGCTTGACACTGCATGGGGTGCTGGGAGAGGGAGATGACATGAGTTTTCAGAGAGGACAGAGGAGGGCACTGCAGATGGCGGAATGATCCAAGTCAATGTGGAGAGAAACAAGGGGAACCCGAGAGGGGGAACAGGACCAGCTACCAGGAATCACAGCTGTAGATCTGTGTTTGCTCATGGCCATGGATGACAGGATCTTTGTGGAACCCAAGTGTCTGCTCAGACCCCGTCTTGGTTCACATGCTTTACTTTATATCAGAGCCTTAACTTCTGTATACGGTTCCCTATGAGCAACATTAGAAAGGCTTCCCATGTCCTCTGTTAATTGGCAAACAAGCAGCTCTCCTGTAAACTACCCTCCTGGCCACCTGCAGCTGGAGCTGCCTGCTCACTTCTGCATCCCCACATCCTGAGGGGTGATCCCAGCTGTCGTCCCCATCCAGGGCAGAGAGCTTGACAAAGTCTCCATCCTATGAACCCCTACCCTACCTCCCACGCCCATTATAGCCCAAACCTATAGCAATTCAAAGTGGAGAGTGAAGAGGAAGACCCCCCAGGGAATGGTTTCTGATAGCACAGGGAATGTGTTTCTGATCATAGAGTTCAAGCCATTTGTCCTAAAGAATTATCAAGGCCTCTTTCCTCTGAGTAGTGAGCCCAAAGGTAAAAAAAAAAAACAGAAAAGAAGGAAGGGAGGGAGGAGCGAGGCCTGGAGGTATGGAGAACTGCGGGAGGGAGGGAGCGAGGGAACTGATTATGTTGAAAGAGTAGCTGAAATCCATTTATTCATATCCAGTGTGAGATGGCTGAAGTCACCCACAGACAGAGACTCTGAGCACCTTTCCAGTGACAAGAAGGGGCATCCCCGTCAGGGGTAACTCCATCAGGCTGGTGCCATGAGGAAAGCTGCATCTCGTGAACTATTGGCCCTAGAGTCCCTGAAGTGGTGACTTGTGTGAATAATTAATGATTAGTTGTAACTTTCAAAGCACCTTCCAGACAAACCACTTGTACTTTTATTACGGACTTTTGTTTTTCTTTCTTTTGCAGGAAAAATCAAGGATCTGTTGCCCCCTGACTCTCTTGAGTCCGCCATCCTGGTTCTGGTGAACGCAGTCTATTTCAAAGGGTTATGGGATAAGAAATTTGATACAAAAAGTACTGGAGAGGAAAAATTTTGGCTGAACAAGGTATTGTTTATAATTTATTTATGATAATGTATTTATATATGGAGTGTTAAATTTAAACTCATATCTGATAGTTGTAAAACTGCAGATAGACATTAGGATTTGTCATGGCTGTATTTTCTTATTTTCATTTTTTTGACTTCATTTAGTTGGGAATACTCGAGGAAACTTTCCCTCCAATTCACAAATTTCCCAGATCATCTCTCAGAAAGAGGATGTGTTTGGTATCTCAACACTATTACCGTTTTTTGACTTATGCCTCACTTGGCATTTCTTTGCCACATTAATTACTGCAGGATATGAGCAAATCCGTGCAAATGATGAGACAAACCAGTTCCTTTAATTTCGCTGCACTGGAGGACATGCAAGCCAAGATCCTGGAAATACCATACAAATGCAAAGATCTAAGCATGATGTTGCTGCTGCCAAATGAAGTAGATGGTCTGAAGAAGGTGAAATCTTATACCTTCAATTATTCTTAGTATTGCCTGATTTCCTAGTAGTACAATGCTTTTATGGGCTGTTCATGGAAATGGTGCTCACAGATTGTTGGTGATGTGTGGCAAAGCTCAAGAACACAGTACTTTTCTTCTCTACATACAACCTAGAGGAGAATTCTTAAGGAGAACCTGACAACATGTTGCATTCCAAAAAACAAATATCTTAAGTAGCACAGTGTGATATGAAAGAATATATAGAAAATCTTAACATCATAGGTCCCATTGATATTCTGATGAAACTGTGAATTGACACTTCAGAAAAAATTATACTTAGGCACATACACTATATTTTGTGACCATAAGAACCTCTGATATATTCCAGTGTATTCATTTGAAGACAAGGAACTTAAGACTCAGATGAACGTGGCACACTGAAAATATATACAAATTCACTCATAAACAAGACCAAGCATATTAAAACAACGATGGGTACCATTTTGCATATTAAATTACAGTGGGTTTGTGGACAGTGGAAAAATAGATTTGTCTTGATGTGTACTTTTCAATATAGAAGTATTTAGCCCGTAGGAGCTCAAAAGCCATTTGGAGCCTCATTCCTGGGAGAAAAAAAGAAAAAAGGAATTTTCCCCTTAGCACTGTTATAATGGTTAAAGTTAATGTGAACAATACTAGTACCAATGTCTGGCATTTTAAGGACATTCCAAAAATGGCCATCTGCAATTACTATAATAGTTGATGATGATGCTGAAGTTGCAGTAAATGTGCCACAGTCAAAATATATATTGTGCTAATACTGGGACCTGGAGATCCTCAGGGAAAGTAATATGGCAATATATGTGAAGGGCCATCACATTATTAGTACTCCAGCTCAGCAATCCCCGTCATCAATGACCTCAGGAACCCCAGTCCTGGGATTTTATCCTAAGCTAACTGATGTAAACAAGGCAAAAGCTTTTGGACAGAAGCAGCTCAAAATAATGAAAAATTCAAAACAAAGAACAAGACTGCATCTTTGTATTGCCAATAGTTTAGCTTAGGGACTGGCACACAGTGAATGCTTAAACACTATCAAGTAAAGATATACACATTGAATATCAATTTAATGGTAGTGTTGTGGAATGATTTAAATTGATAAAGAAATACATATCTAGGTGGGGAAAGTTTACAAATAGGTCAAGCAAGAAAAAGGAATAAAAATAAGTTGTATGCTATAATTTCAGTATGTAAAAAATTATGTACAAAAGGACATTAACAAGAAAAGACTATTAAAAAATGAGACATGCAGTGGGCTGGCAGCTTAAGAAATGGAGATATATAGTTCATCTTTTATAAACTAATTTTATTTAAAAGTTCTTCTGTTTTATATATGTGTTTTATATGTATAATTATATATTACAGAAGATTCCATTGGTTCTATAGGTATAATACAGAAGACTCAGTTTATTATATAAATATAAATCTTCTGTATTTACAGTTACTGTTAACATAAAAGTTTCCATGTGATTCAATCCAACATTAAGCTGTGTTCAATGTCCACTGAGAATCACTTCATTGTTCCTTTTGTCCATTGTCACAGCTTGAAGATAAACTCACAGCTGAGAAATTAATAGAGTGGACAAGCTCACAGAATATGAGAGAGACACTCGTGGATTTATATTTACCTCGGTTCAAAGTGGAAGAGAGCTATGACCTCAAAGACACAATGATATCCATGGGGATGGTGGATGCCTTCAGTCCACAGGACGCCAACTTCTTGGGCATGGCAGATAGTCAGCGTCTCTTAGTGTCAAAAATTGTACACAAGTCCTTTGTGGAGGTGAATGAGGAAGGCACGGAAGCCACAGCTGCTACAGGCGTAGTAGTTGTTGAAAGAACATCACCCATTTATGAAACTTTCCATTGCGATCACCCTTTCCTGTTCTTCATCAAGCATAATAAGACCAACAGCATCCTCTTCTTGGGCAGAGTCTCTTCCCCTTAGATGCAGCTAACTAAGGGGGAAGTTCACAGTTGTTCCAATACGTTGATGGCTAGAAATAGCAGGTTCTCTTTACCTCTTTTTCCTTTCCAATCTCATACTCATCACTAAAAATGTAATGGTTGAAATAGCATGTTTGTCTATCTCTTTCTAAAAACACATGTAAACCCACTTTATTTCCCCATGATGATTTCCCACAGGACAAAATGTTCAAGATAAGATCAAAAGATATTTCAACACTCTATCTTCTCCCAAATTTGAAATATCCTTTCTGCTATCTCAAAAACCATATCTACAAATCAAACTTATTAACCTAGACACCCACATTTATTTGAATTTAGGTGATATCTGGAACCTTTATATGGCTAAACTTTTTAATTCTTTGACATACATTATCAATAAAGCAATGACTTTCTCGTACTGTTTCTTGATTTTACTTTTTTTTCTTTGTCTTCAATGAAGTATAAGTGGCCCACCACACATAGGAAAGGTAATTCAGAAATATATTATCACGTATAAAGAAAATTCAAAATAGGAGTAGGGCATGATGAGGCTGAAGTGTAGGTTGCTACCTGAATATAAAAGGTTTTGCAGCTCACGTTAAGAACTTCCAATTTTATCCTAAAATAAATGGAAAACCACTACAGCTTTTGTTTATATGTTGTGCAAAGAAGAGACTGAGAGCATCATTTGCACATCTCTAAAATACACCTCTGGCTATTATGGTGTAAAATGACTAGAGGAAAGAACAGTGCGGATATGGGGAGTAAATTAATTAGTAAACTATTACAGTGTCAGGAGTGGAGATTGAGAGAAACAGATATCTGTGAGAATTATTTAGGAAGAAAAATCCACAGAATTCTGGCAACACATGTGGCAGAAAGGTGAGATAGAAGCCAAGAATGATGCCCAAGTTTCTGGCCTAACGAACCGGTTGGATGGAAATAATTTTGTTTTGGAGAAGAGAAAAGACCTTGGATTTAGATTTCCACTTGTTGAATTTTCACTTCTTTTGAGACATGCAAATGGAATTGTCCAGTAAACACTTGAATATATGAATCTAGAGCTCAGCTACAGGATATGATCTGAAGCTCTAAACATGTGATGCTCAAAATGAAAGATTTAGAGTTACTGAATAAATATGCTAACTGTAAAAAATGGTAAAAAGAAAAAAAAAAGTGGCTAAAAGCAAGAATGGATCCTAGGGAGAGAGTATAAAGAGATAAGAAAGGAGCATCTAGAATTGACATTGAAGTATGTCAAGATATAAAGGTCAGGAATTGATAATTTTTATTTTCTAGAACACAGCTTTTCTTAGGGGACCATATTCATTACAAATCCTTTCCAGTCCTGAACCCAGCTGATTTCAGAAACCATGAAGTTTGGAGGATTTGAGCAAGATCTAAATTTTCTTCACCAGAATTCAGCAGCCCAAGAACAGAGCAAAGAGATGTTTCACCATATACATGTGAGACTTGGTCAAGGGATCTGACAGACTGGCAAAGAGTGGGTAACATGAGTAAACCATGCAGTGAACAGACTGAGAAGTGATGGTAAGGCAAGAGGCAGTGACCTTGTTGAATAGAGAAGCAATGGGGTACTTAATGAGGCTGAAGAACAGAAATGATGGGAATCAGTCTGTGAGACACATGAAAGGATCAGAAGTTTGGCCCAGGACCTGGGATTTGAAGTGTATTTTAAAATAAAAAATTTTAGGTAATAAACAAGCTCAGAGTGTCACTATGGTGTGAATTAATTTCTAATGGTTCAATGAAGTTGAAGCTGGTACAGAGTCTAGGGGATTTGAAGAATTGATTGTTAGAATGCCTTTAGACCATAAATTTCAACTACTTGTTAATTTACTTGGGTTTTCAAAAGGAGCTTTATAAAAGCAAACAAGTTAAGATAAAGGCTCATAAGCATTTGAGTCATATCAGGTAGAGGAGCTGGTTGACATCTAGTTCTGAGAACTGAGAAGCTTTGCCTATATTCTAGGTCAGTCAGAGAACCAACTACCCCTGCATTGTGGCCGCATGTAAGAGAAATTGAAGGCAAATTCAAATCTTGTATTTTTATTTTTAAAGTAATAGATTATAATTCATTGAATAACACAGAATACAATGAGCCCATACTGGCATAAAATAAATAAATGACTACGTTAAAAGTTTTAAAAGAAATGCATATTTAGGTGTTTTTAAAGCTCCTCTCCAAAGAATATCTCCTCACACTTGTTAGAGTGGCCACAATTATAACTAAAGAGACTGGCCACATAAGCGCTGGAGAGAGTGTGGAGCAACGAGAACTCTCAGACACCACTGCTGGGAATACGAAGGGTGCAAACAGCTGGGAAATCACTTTGGCAATTTCTTATAAAACTAAACCTTTACTTACTATATGATCTGGCAATTCCACTCCTTCATATTTTCCCAGGAGAATTGAAAATATGTGTCTCCAGAAGGACTTATATACAAAAGTTCACAGTAGCTTTATTCACAATGGTCAAACATGGAAATGAATCAGATTTGCATAAGCAAGGGAATGGATAGAAAAACAATGGAATAGTACTCAGCAATGAAAAGGAGAAAACTACTGATTCCTGCAGCACCACGGATGAACCTCTCAAACACTATTCTGTGCAAGAAAAGCTGGGCAGAAAGAGCACGTGTTATGTAACTCCACACATACGAAGTCCAGCCTGTGGGGACAGAAAGCTGAGTAGTGCTTTCCTGGGGCTGGAGTTGGGGAGGAAATTGATTGTAACAGAGTCCAAGGGAAATTTCTGGTTGAGATGAATGCTCTAGAACTTGATTAGGTGGTGGTTACACAGGTGTTTACATTTGACAAAAGTCGTGGACCTGTTCACTTACAATGTGTGAATTTGTTTTATGTAAATTATGTGTCAATAAAGTGGACAGAGATGTTGGAAGAGGAGGGAGAGAAAGAGAATAGTGCAAACGGACATCATTATTTTGCCTCTGGAAATATATGAGCACGTTGTCACAAATGGCTGGATTTCATCGTTTCTTATGGCTGAGTAGTATTCCATTGTGTATATATACCACATCTTCTTTATCCATTCATCCCTTGATGGGCACTTAGGTTGCTTCCAAGTCTTGGCTATTGTGAATAACGCTGCAATGATGCAAAGTGAAATAAGTCAGAGGGAGAAGGTCAAATACCGTATGATTTCCTTCATTAAGTAGTAGATAACAACAACAATAAACAAACACATAGGGACAGAGATTGGATTGGTGGTTACCAGAGGGGAAGGGGGGAGGGAGGAGGGTGAAAGGGATAATTCGGTACATATGTGTGGTGATGGGTTGTAATTAGTATTTGGGTGGTGAACATGATGTAATCTATGCAGAAATAGAAGTACAATGATGTACACCTGAAATTTTTACAATGTTATAAACCAATGTTACTGCAATAAACAAAAAATTAAAAAAAAAAAAAGAAATATATGAGCAAAGAAAATTTCTTGATTAAATATGTTTTTAACAACTTCATTCTAACCAATTTCTCTCCAATCTTTAATTTATTCATATACATTTAACCACATTTAACAATATGCCAATATCCCTGTCACATGGAGGAAGAAGCATCATGAAATTGCAAGTTAGAAAATAAAGTTCTGTGATTTGGGATCTATCAACTTGTCTTTATCGATCAGGAGGTTAAAAATGACTATACTAGGGGCCAGCCTGTTGGTGTAGTGGTTAAGTTCACAGGTTCCACTTCAGTGGTCCAGGGTTCGTGAGTTTGGATCCAGGGCACGGACCTACATCACTCATCAACCCACACTGTGGTGAGGTCCCATATACAAAATGAAGGAAGATTGGCACAAATGTTAGCTCAGGGCCAATCTTCCTCAAGCAAAAAGAAGAGGATTGGCGACAGATGTTAGGTGAAGGTGAATCTTCCTCACCAAAAATTAAAAAAATCTTTTTAAAAAATGACTATTTAAAATTTAGTTTGAAATTTGGAAGTGTTTAACAAGAAAATTCATTGCCAGATACTTTTCCATTAAATATCATTGGACAAAATATGGTATTGAAAGCTATTTTTATGTCAATTTTGGATACAGTTTTCAATAGTCAAAGATGAAAGTCAAGCCTCACAAACTACTTATGTCATATAAATGGAAGGATAGATACCTTCTTCCCTTGGGAAAGGATATTTCCCTCTTCTGGGAAAAACCCTTAGTGTTTAATCTGGTTGGCTCCATCAGACCACAGCTCTGTCAGGATTATCTCTGTTGTGTACCTAGAGCACACAGGTTGTCAGCAACTATATGACGAATGAATGAATGATTGAGTCATTCCCCGTAAGTCACACAGCAGACTATCATCTGTTCTAGAAGGACTCATTTGTATTTCTATTACAAAAGACACTATAAACATCCAAAAATTGCATTATTGGCTTCACTGTGTGTAGTGTAGTGTAGGTCATTCAACAAACAATTATTCTGAACCTACTATGTGCAATGCTGGATTTGGCAATGGGTTTGCAGATATAGGGTGACCAGAAAAAGAAAAATAAACCAAGAATCCAGAAGACCATAAGAGGGGAATGAAATGAAACACAAGGAGGCCAGAATATGGAAGCATGCCCTAATGTTGACAGTCAAGGCAGACTTCAAGGTCTGGAACAAGAGCAGCAGTGTGGGTGCAATACAGACATGGAAGTACCTGAGGTCAGTCAGAAAACAGCTGAGCTGCTGGGCAGTCAGAAATCTGCAACACTTAAGGATATAACAAAAGAAATAAACTCAGAAATTTAGGAAGTCATTTGGCAACAGAAACAAGAGACCAGAACTCAGTGACAATTCTGCCCTCCCAAGTGGCTGTGTGTGTGTGTGTGTGTGTGTGTGTGTGTGTGTGTGATTTCCCAGATGGTAGGGCTTCCCAGAGCATAGAAATGCAGGGCCAGGCCCTTGCCTTCTAGAATCTTAACATCTAAGGCTTTATTCTTTCTGTTCCTGGTACCTATCTGCCCAAATGTGTGGAAATCAGAAACACTCATATTCTAAAATATTGCCTAAGATAATTCATGTTTCATTTGAGACAAATAATGCAGTTGCTTCCTTCCTAAGAAGAACTTTTTGACCTATATTTTTTGTCTAAAAACAATCTTAAGAAAAGAAAGCCATGCATTTTTTCTTACACTCTAAGTTAGACATTGATCAGACTAAAGTGAAGTTCACCTTTAGATAAACTGTACGTGACAATGGAGCGATGTCTGCATTTCCACCTCCCTGCAGTGATGTTGATGCCCATTCCAGGGGTGGCACACCAGGGACCGCAGAGGAAGTGCTGAAGCAGCTACTGCACAGGCTCCTGGCATCGCTCTACTTCCCACCACTGGGGATCTCTGCGTCCCGACACCCACGATCCATGCATCACATCATCCCTGATCTCTTATTCTCCAGAGCACATCCTGGATTGCACAAATGGTGGTGCTAAGGAGGCCATCCTCTCCATCCCAAGACCCCATCCTCCACATACACATCTGCACAAATACAGAGAGTTAGACAAGTGCTCAGAGGTCCT